GAGGTGGTGCCACACCAGCACTTCCATTCCTACAGCTGATGGGATGTCTCAGCCAGCCCCTTCTGAGACAAGAGAGTTTAATGAAGCTCTCTAGCTTTCTCAATGTCATTTGCTAACAGTGTTTGATAGCTATTCAGCCCATTTTACAGACAAACAATAGAAAATGGATTTAAATCCCATGCAAGAGACAGAACAGAATATGAACCAGGCTCTGCAGAGACCTAAATTTTTATCAGAAAGAGGCAAAGAGTCAACATTCACTTTCCAAAGCCAGACACACAATTCCCTACCTATAGTCAAATGAGAAGCCATCAAGCATCCAGTTCTGCTCTTGGAATTTTCATTTTCCCATATGATCCACCGAGAAGAGAAGGAGCAAAGGTCGAAAGAACCATGGCATTAGGGTCTAGCCTACAATCAGTCAATGAGCAATTTTATTGCCACAAGAAAATGAAAAATAGTCATGATTTTGCACACTCATTCCAATAAAAGCAAATGGCTGATTTTCCCATGAAATAACATACAATGTGTTCAGACTCAGATTTGGGTGCTTAGCCTAAGACTAAGTTGGGTCTCTGCTGTTCACATCCGATGAGTGAAGAGCATGGCCTTTCCCCTTTCACTCCTTGGAGACAAAGATGAGTGGGACTGCAAGCATCACAGCTTAACTTCCATTGTCTACTTGACTGGATTAAGAATCATCACACTATGTCCGGGAGGGCACTTCCAGAGAGGACTAACTGAGGGAGAAATATCCATCCTGAATGTGCTAGGGATGATGCCTGAGTTACTTTTCTATTGCTATTAACAGACACCAGAAACAAGGCAACTTATAAAAGAAAGCATTTAACCAGGGCTTGCTTACACTCTCAGAGGGTGAGTCCATGGCCATAACGGCAGGAAGTTAGTCTGGCAGCAGACAGGCAGGCACGGCTTTGGAGAAGCAGCTGAGAGTTTACATCCATATCCAAAAGTTTGAGGCAAAAAAAAAAAAATAAGAATAAGGAAGCTGGGCATGGCATGGGCTTTTGAAACCACAAAGCCCACCCCTAGTGACACACCTCTTACAACAAGATCATACCTCCTAATCCCTCCCCAAACAGTTCTACCAACTAGAGACTAAGCATTCAAATATCTGAGACTTTAGGGGCCATTCATTTGAACAATCACAGGAGACCTGCAAAGAATAAAGAGCCCAGGGGCTGAGGGTCTAGTCAAAAGAAAGTAAAGCCAACTGCATTATAATATGCCCACACACATACACTCTGTTAGCTGCCTACCTTGACAAAATCCCCTCTATCCCACCACTTCCTCTGTGCCATGATAAACTGATGCTTCTGAAACTGTGACCCAAAATGAAAATCCTGCACATGATGTTGTTCTCTGGTATTTTGGTTGCAATGACTAGAAAGTAACTAATACAATAGCCATCATGTGTGTCGTCAGCAGACGGCAGGCAGCACTATAAAACCATGCGTATTGACTCATTAAATCCTCCCAGCCTCCTTCTGAAGCAGGAAATGTTATAGTCACCATCTGTGCTGGCTAGTTTTTATGTCAGCTTGACACAGACTAGAGTCATTTTGGAGAAGGGAACCTCAATTGAGAAAAATGTCCCCACCAGATTGGCCTGTGATCAAGCCTGTGGAACATTTTCCAGATTGATGATTGACATGGGTGGGCCAATCTGACAAAAGGTGTGTGGTCTTGGATAATATAAGAAAGCAGGCTGAGCCAGCCATGAGGAGCAAACCAGTAAGCAGCACTCCTCCATGGCTTCTGTTTCAGTCTGTCTCCAGGTTTTTGCCTTGAGTTCCTGACCTGGCTTCCCTCAGTGATGGACTAATAAGCTGTAAGCTGAAACAAACCCTTTCCTTCCCATGGTGTTTTATCACAGCAATAGAACTCCTAACACAACATCTGGATAATAAGGAAGCTGGTTAAGCGACTTGGCCAAGACTGAGTATGAGTGGCAGTACTAGGATCTCAGCACAGACAGCTGATTCCAAAGCCCTGTATCCATTATTCAATCTAAATGATGCCTGTATGTCACCAAGGACTCCCAACTTGTCCCTCATCATATAATGCAACGAGAATATACAGCCCTCCCTCTGTAGACATGAATATTTCTTTGTCACCTGAAAGAACCTACTTGACACTCAGGGAATAGGACTGATTCAGAGAGAATACAGAATTTACTTGTCAATTTTGAAAGTTTTTCCCCCCACAAATCTGAGCCTCTGAGGCACTGTTTCTCAGAGCCTATTCCACGGGCTCATGACATGAGTGTTCACAGGGGATGTTTACTTCAAGCATGGAATCTGATATAGTGGAACTGAATCCCTAGGAGAGGGTCCTGGTAATATGCACTTTGAAGAAGCCCTCCAGTGATTCTTATCATGCTAAAGATTGGCAGTCATTTCACAGTTGCATCTGGAAGTTTCGGCAGCACTACAGATCATCAATTCAACAGCCGATGATTATGGAAGACTTTCAGAGCTTCTCCGCATTCAACAGCTATTTCAGGGAGCACTGTAATATGCAAGAAGTGTTTCTAAATTGTTGCCGCTTCCCTCTGTGTGAAGCAGCTGGTTAAGAAAGCTTCAATAATTCCCCAAGGGCTCCAGTTAAGTGGACACTTACAAACTGTTTACATATAAAGATATACAAAAGACACTTTTCTACCCCAGTCTCAAAGTGAGTCTTTTAGAATGGTATTCTGGTCACCTTTGTTTGTGATTAAAGCCAAAGACTGGGATGTGGACCATAAGAGCTGCCATATTCTGGCTGTGCACATCTCTCCATCATCACCAACCCAAATCCATGCTCAGCTACTGCCTCAGTTAGCCTAAACTGCCTTCGGCACGTTACATGCCCAGCATCTTTGCCTCAGATCCTGGGCGTGTGATGTTACCCTGCCCAAGTGCCTACACAGTTCTCTCCCTTTCCTGCTCAGATTTGCTGTCACAATCTTAGGGAAGGCTTGTTACAAGTTAGAATATCTGAGTATCTATCACTTCTTGGCTACCACCCATCACTCTGACTACAGCTTTTCTCTCTGTGTTAATCAGTGTGGTAACTTAATCTCCAATTGTCTTAGCAAGTACAGTATGGGCAAAATCTAGAACAGTTTTTATGGTTTTTATGCCTTCCAGTGTCTAGAGAAGCCTTGATATAAAATAAGCATGCAGTAAATTGTTGTATTGTGACTGAAAGGAATGTCATTCATGCTGTCGAAGATAAAGTCTTGATTCTCAGTCTGAAGTCTGACATGGACAACAAAGCTTCTGCCTTTTTCCTTTCCTAACCTTTCTTCAGACAGCAGCAGAGATGGCTAGGATGCAAAGCCAGAACCCTCAAACATCTTTGAATGTTTGAAGCCCCACATCATAAAATGTGTCTAGATCCCTTTAGTGTGTCAGCAGCTCTACTCCTAAAGCTGGTTTCACATTTCTTATAGCATCATTACAGAATAATTAGGAGTTAAAAGGAAAGTTAGTGGAAGAGGAGAAATTCTGATTTTGAAGAACCACAGAGTAATTATGTTTGCTGTTCCACTTCAAAGGCTGAAGTGTATTCTTATTAGTAAGAGAGGGATGCTGACCAGGTTATCACATGGGTCTACTTAATTGTATTTTATCATTAAATTGTATTTTATCTTCAAACAGTTGTGTGAATTACCACACTTGCCTTTAGTAAGAGTGTTCAATACTGACAGTAATATTGTTGTATGAACACGTGTTCAAGCTAATTGGATACTAAAGGGTAGTTGTAAGCATGTTTAACGTCAGAAATATTCATCTCCTATGACCTTTATAGCATGCAACACAATGGGCATCATTTAAATTATTACAAACATTGTTTTCCTGCTTTATCTCAAAGAAATACAATTTACTATGTAATTATGATTGTATATAATATAATGATTTGATATACATGTTGGCTGTAGACACCGCTCTATGGTAGAGCACCTGCCTGGCATGCATAAGCAGGAGGAAGGGGAAAAGGTACTTAATCAAAGCCTGGTGATTATAGGCTAGTCTTCCACTTTTTGTGAAACACTACTCCAAGAACATTCAAAGCCAGTACCTCTCAGACTTTATTGAGGAAACACTCCCATTTTCAGCATCATAGTGAAAAAAGATTAGGGAGGCACAGGAAAATTTAGTGAGTTTGACTTCTGAGTACTGCGAATCATCGCGGATCACACCTCAAACAGAGCTTTTAATTAGTGTACATAATAATAAAGTTTATTTTGACACCTTCATGCATAGCATAGCATGTACTTCCTTCATATTTGTGGCCACTACCCTCTCTATTCCCCCTCCCGTCCCCTCCTGCTGGCTCCCGTCCCTTCCTCCCCACAGCCTTCTCTGCCTTTGTGTCATAACTTGTCATCCTTCAAAGCTTAGCAATCTAATATGCATGTCCTAGGAGTCTGCAGGAAATGACAGATAACAATACTATTAGTTAACAATTATATTTCATACCTGCAGATTTCGGAACACTTTCATATCAATTTCCTTACTCCGTCCACATAACTCAAAGAGAAAGACAGAATTAACAAGCCCATTTTTACAAGTGAACAGACTGAGACAGAAAGTGCCTCAGAGTCACACTGTCCCACTGTCCTTCATGGTTAGGAAGCAGGATTCCTATTCAGATAGCTCGCCTGCTCAGCACCCAGTCACATATACTAAACAAGAATGCCTCCTGTGCATATTTTATTTGAGAACAATGAGATGGGAGGCTCAGCCCTCCTTCCTTGCTTGCTTGCTTTCTCTTGGGTTTTTTTTTTTTTTTTTTTTTTCCTTTAGATCATGGGATGAGGAATGTTTTTGTTTTCTTTTCAAGGGAAGCTGAAAGTGAGCCTTCTCTTTCTGAACATCTTTTTTCCCAAAGCCATTTACCTTTGTCTAGGTCCCCAAAAGACACTAATTCATAAGACAGTCCACTAACGAGCTTCCCTCTTTGTGTCCCTCTGTGTCTGTGTTCTGCAGCTAATAGCCAAGATACCGACTATCACGGCAGTCTGCAACTTGCACGGGGAGAAGCTGCAGGTATTTAAGCAATCCCATCCAGATATAGTGAACACACTGTTCCCTCCATTGTACAAGGAGCTCTTTAACCCTGACTGTGCCGCCGTCTGCAAATGATGAGGATGAGAGCTCTCAGTCACGGAATGCATCACCGCTGAGACAAAAGCAATGTGCTCATGGAGACTTAAGGAAAATGTCACTACTGCAACATTAGGAATGTCCTGCACTTAATAGAATTATTTTTCACCGCTACAGTTTGAAGAATGTAAATATGCACCTGAGTGGGGCTCTTTCGTTTGTTCGTTTGTTTGTTTGTTTGTTTTTGAAATGACCATAAATATACAAATATAGGACACTGGGTGTTATCTTTTTTAATTTTATTCGGGTATGTTTTGGAGACAACTGTTTATAGGATTTTATTGTAGATATATACACAAGAACAGAGCCGTACTTTACATGGTTACTTTTCCTGTTGATTGTTCAAATATAATTTAAGGAAATTCCACTTACTAGGCTTACCTATTTCTATGTTTTTAGATAGTTGATGCATGTGGAAATGTGTAACTGTCTTGGAAAGTACTGTGCATGTATGTAATGAATATATAATATGGAAGAGTATTATATATGACTATTACGTATTCATGCACTGTGGCTTCAAATACCATGCCCACTATCAATGCAGGTTCAGACAGGCTTTCTCGTGTGATTTTCTATTTTCTGTTAAATGTTTCTTTTATGTTAGACAATCAGGGTTTTCTTTACCAGCCAGAGTTTTCACCCATACATAACAACAGGATAGTACCCTTCAGAAACAAGCCTACAAAGGAATGGGTATAACATAGAGCAACTTTCTCAAAACTCCATCTCTGTCAATGCCTTGAAAGCCTTGACAAGATGGTACATGGTAGGGGTTGAAACCATTTTCCTGTTCCATAAACCAGGCTATAAACCAGACAATAATATTTCTTATTTTCTTTTACCACAGTACAAAATATTAGGGTTTTATTCCCCTTTGGATTTGGATTTCAAACTGAGAAAGAAACTTGACTTTGATGTTTATTATTTCTTTAACAAAAAAAGGAAAAAGTCAGTCTGTGGGCTATGCCCACCACCGATGTTCTTAGAAACATTTGACTAGAAGTATAAAACAAGTATAAAACAAGGCCCCAGTGCTATTTTGCATAGACATTTTCTAACCATCCCCCTCCCCAAAGAACAGAAAGAACTAGAATATACAAAGTAAAGAAGTAATTCATTCAATTCATACCCATTATAATTTGTTAGAAAACATGTTAATAAAAAAGAGAAAGCAGTCTAGAGCCTGGAACCTCCAATTTCTTCAACTTCAAAATTCTGTATTCTAAAAATAGAGCAAAAATTTAAAAGATTAGAAAAAAATTAAATGTTTTGTCTATGAGACTGATATATCCCAAAGCCGAAATTCTTTCCTACATAGGTTTAAATGGCATCCTCTGTCAGGAAATACTGGTTATTTTTTAGCCTCTTAAAAGAACAGAATGGATGGAAGGGTACCCTATGCAGGTTCTTCATCCATGCTCCTATGACATTAATCACCAGAAAAGCGTGAACCATTTGCTTGTCCAGTTCCTGGAAGGCATGGGCCTTTAATACAGTCTAGTCCAAACTAAGACTTTCGAAGAAAGAGCTAGGGAACACATTCATGTGTAAAACACCAAAAGCTAAAATGTACTATAAATGTGGAACAGCCCCTAGCTTATAAAAACCTGCCCTTTCTCCTTACACGCACGCACGCACGCACGCACGCACACGTTTTCTAAATCTTCACTAATAGAAACTTTGTTTTTGTTTTTTTTTTGTTTTTTGTTTTTTTGTTTTTTTAATTTCTTATGTTCTCCTGAAGTTCTTGGTTGAGAGTCATCTCCAAGATGCCTCAGAACTCTGGAGGATGATCCAAACAGTAGTCCTGTTAATCTTTCCTTTCCAAAAAAAAAAAAAAAAAAAAACAGGGGCTTTTCTCACCTCATGATTGATGAATTCCAAGCCATTGGGGGAAAACAAAAAGGCTTTAAAATAATGAATCTCTTTTTCAACCACTGTTATATTCAATTAATTTAACTACATTGAACCAAATTACCTTTGGTTCTGAGAAGACAGCTGTAGACTGCTTATTATGCTGCTACAGGGACCCAGTTCTTTCTGGTGTAAATGTCACTCCTGCTAGCTCTTTGTATAAAGAATTAATTCCAAGAGTCATATTTCCTTCTAATGGAAAGATACTTTTCTGATTGCTAGGAAAACAGGGTAATGGAAGGCGCTCAATTAAACCAAGCTGCTTCCAAATACGATGTATGTTTTATGATTGGCTTGTGATAGGCGATGCTTACTGTGTCTACTTGGCGTTCCCCTTTGAGCTTTGAACTCATGACAAACTTTGATTTCATTGTTCTGTTGGCCCAGTGTTTCCCGTTGTCAGCCTGTAAATCTCGCTGGGCTGCAAAGGGAATCGTTTGTTGCCTCCACTTTACCTTAGAGGATTTACACTGGCCCAATTGATGAAGTAGCTGAGAATTTTTTTTCTCCCTTGCCCACGGGTGGTGTAGGAAAAGATTGTTCCCCATATTTGCCTCAGGGGGTACTGGTTTTGAAATTGTGTCATCTCCACTAATGCTAGCATTTCACTGGGACAGTGTGAACCTTCTGAAGCAAAGGGACAGGAAACAGAGCTAGGAACTGAACCATAACCAAACAGTGGTAACCAGCTCAGGCCCAGCCCCCTTTTCCATCCAGAGAAGAGAGCTCCAATTTTGGCTGCAGTTGCCAATTTTTCCCTTAAAAGAGGACCGAGTCATGTTTTTAATGGTAAGAAAGCCTTTAAACACTGCCCTTTGAACTTCTCAGTGACTACATGAAATTTCAGTAAGAAAAACTCTCTTTACCACACACAGTCTCAGCATGCTGTTCCTTCTGAGAACTGGCAGATGTTCAAAATGTGCTAGGATGAGGCATGCGCTGGAAGAAGGAATTGGGGTCTGCAGTCTCCTTCATGCCCCAAGGATGACAATCACTGCTTGATGTAGATGCTTAGATGCCGCACTGAATCTGCTCAGGGATGGTCCATTAAAAAAAAAATCATTGAGAAGGGGCAGGGATAAACAGGAAGATGACAATAAAAGCTAAGTGGCATAAATTAAACACTCCAGTGAGAGACCCTCTCTACCAGGCTTCAGACCAGTTCCAGTGGCTCTGTGGCAGAAGATGAATGAATTGCTTTGATTTTTTTGGACCTGCCCAAAAGTTCCACACAAGTAAAGACATTAGTTTCACTCTCCAAAGTGAACAAAGAACAAACCGTCCAGGCTGTCCTGCTTATCCCCCAATGAATCCAGGCTTCCTGTGTAAGCACTTAGCAAACGAAATACAAGATTTAACTGTCACAGGACAGAGCTGACAGGCTGTGTGAATGACAACTCCAGGGCATCCGTACTCTGTAGAAAAGAAAAAAAAAAGCAGATTTTGGAGGGAAAATGAGAGATTTCAAATCTAGGTTGACAGTTACGAATGGCCTTGCTGCTGTGACTTGACCTATCTTTGTGTCAGTTTTTCTGGGGATCTTTCATGCACAGATTAGACACTGAAGGTGAGGATATGCTTTCCAAACACACTTTCTGCATTTCTCTTTGTCTTAATATTTTCTTCAGGGCTCTGAGCTAAGGGACTTCTAAGCAAAAAGCAGAGACTGTGGTCTTAGGTGACTGGATTCCTAAGGCAGTAGCTAAGAGACTCTAGGCTGCGCCCAACTGAATATTAACAAGAGGCATCGGGGACATTGGTGCATTTCCATCATGGCTGCCTTACCAAGCAGGTTACTTCCTAGCAGTCAAGCTGAACTGTTGGGAGGAAACCTTGAAGATGCACAGCCAACTCTCCATAATGACGCTCACATAGGTCCCAAAGACCGCCTAAAATGTTCCTGGTTTTTTGTTTTTTGGTTTTGTTTATTTGTTTGCTTGTTTTGTTTTTTGTTTGTTTATTTGTTTGTTGTTTTTTTTCTTTGCTGTTGTTCATTCATTCGTTCTCTTTTGTTTCTTTTCTTTTTTTTTTCAAAGACACCAGAAATACGTAATGCCAGTGTAGTTCCACATCCTCAGTTTGTCTTCATTCCAGAAACAGAAAATTTTGGCTGCTGTCCAAATCATTTCTTCTGGATCTTTCTTTCTTTCCTATATTAATTCTTATTTCTAATGAAATTACCACAAAGGATAGTAGGTTCAGGCAAGGATGTCTCTGCTCTGACAAGCACCTAAAGATAGAGGTGGCTCTTAAGTGTGTATCTGAGGGAAACTTCTGCAGAGTCCTTTCATAAAGAAGAGGGAAACGCCACCAAGATAAAGCGCTATTTGATGAAGAAAAGCCTGGTGTGGGGAGCCATGGGGTCTTTTGGAAACAGGCTGATAACCCTTTTACTTTTAGAGAGGAATACATTTCAGAACCAGAGGTGGTTGCCTGTTTAAATCAACAGATAAACTCTCAACACCCCCCCCCAAAAAAAATGTGGAACAGATACGAATAGTGTTGCAATTGTAGCAAGCTGGCAAGGAAATGCCCTGCCTACCACGAGATAGCCACCATTCGGCTGAGGTTGCATGCTGACAGTGCTGCCTCGGTTGTAATGACAGTTGATTCTGAGCATAGTAAAAAACAATCAAACACATCTCTGAGCAGACGAGGTTCATAGACTGCCAGCTTGCCACCTTGGGTTGATGTCAAAAATCACATCTGTTCTGCTAGAGCTGGTCAGGCTAAATTTGAAGGAAGATGGCATTAAGATGATATTAGTACAGAGGGGGAGAGAAGAAATCTTGCCCTTCTCATTCTCAATGTAGTCACAATATTTACCATCACTACATAATGATATAATAGCAGGTGGCCTGAACAAAATAGCAATTGAAAGACAAAGGCAAACCGGTTGAAGGATGGCTCACAAAAGATACTTCCATATGTCCTGCCGAGCTCCACTGTGGAAGAGCCCAAGAAAACTAGATTTCTTGTTCACTTTTTTTCCTGAAAGTCAGATGTATAACTTTCATGTTTTTGAGCCTGTGTACATGTGTCCTTAAATATATGGCTTCAAATCTGTGACACTTTCCCTGTTTCT